CGGGGGTAACTAGTAACCGGCATTTTTAATGGGATCTTAAAAGATGTGAAAATAATTTTTTTGTCTTAATTGGTCATGTAAACCGTCCTACATAATATTGTCACAGCTACTGTCTCGCAGACTGAGGCAATAAACAGAACTACGCAAGTCAGTCATTTTTGACAGGTTATTATTATCAACTAATTTTAAATTTTATATATCTTATTTTATTGCAAATTTATCAAAACTTGATAATGTGCAACAATTTTTGTGATTGCTAAATTGTTTAAAATTATTATCTTTATTAATGTAAAAAAATTACACCTGAAGTTAGTTGAAATAAAACCTTGGGGCTAGTTGTATCATACAATAATTATTATAGTAGACGTTATACATTTTATTTGTATTATTTATTTATTAGTTAGCAATCCAATTAGTTGATTTATGAAAAATTACTTAGAAACAAGTCAATTTAAAAATAAATAAAGGCTAAATTATCAGAGGCATATTGTGGTTTTTTTGTTGTTACCACTTGCCTAAATAGACGTTACAACTATCCCCAAACACGAGGTAAGTTGAAACACAGAAAATAAATAATTTTATCAATTATTTTTCTTTATTTCGTAGAAATATAATCAGTGGTTTTCAAGATATATTAGTTCAATACAAAAAAACTGTTACAACCAGCCCTTAGCCCAATGTCTATATTTTATCATTAAGTCAAGATAAAATTCAATTGATATTAATAGAATATCGGAAGTAGTAGAGAGTAGAGATGTTTTTGTCAATAATATCTAATATAATTTTTATACGGCTAATTTAAGGAAAACTGATCTTTTATTCATTATAAAAGTAATCGAAGTGTTCAACGTAATTGAATAATCATAGTAGAATGCGTTTATAGCTTGATTAAGCACTTCTAATTTAAGCGAATCTTAAATAACCTTTGTGACCAACCGTGCCAAATGGTAATGTCATGCCTAATCTTTATATAATAATAATTTTAGTAATTAATCACGACTTGAGTTCTATTTGCGAATAAGTAACAGTAAAACTGTTTTTGGGCCAACGATGCCATGACACATTTTCGTTGCAATTAAATATAGGTGTAATTCAAATAGTTGAGCTTAATGCCAATAAAAAAATTAAAGAATATTGATTTTTTTTTAATTAATTACACATAATTCAAAACTTATATAATAATTATATTGCAAAAGTAAATTAATAAACTATATAATAAACTTATTAATTAATTTATGAACTTAATAATTAGCAATTTTAGTAATAGGTGTCTTTCGAAAAGAAGTCGAGGGATTATATTGTATCATTACTTGGGTATTTCCTTAATTACCTTTTTGACTGAATTTAATATTCAATATTTCAATTTTGCCTTTTGCTAGTTTGCTAGTTTGCTAGTTTTCCCCTCATGAGCCTCGAGTTGTATCGACACTTGAAATACCTAACGCCGCCATCGTTTGCTGGAAAACAGTTGAAGAAATATTGTTGTTTCAAAACTAATTCGTACTTGTACTGTGCAATATTAGTTTTTGTCATAAATAAAAGTACGATATGCTCCCATCGTTTCGCAGCACATGTTTTGATATTGAAGAAAAACTTATCGCATGAATCGTTAATTTTTTCATGGTCTCTAGATATATTGTGTTAATTTTGCTTTACTTATTGAGATTCAAAGAAAAATGGATAATTAATTATGAATATCATCGAAAATAAAATTTTATACTTTTATACTATTCTTGCAATTTAAAGTTTTCTATTTTTGTTTAATAAATTAATTTGATCATATTCAAGGAATTCTATTGATTGAAATAAATATTTTAACTAAAATGCGAGAGTAAAAGTTTCACTAATCTTCAAAACAAATGTTATAATTTACATATATGTCGGCAAAGTAAATTTTATTTATTTTGGTAATTTATAAAAATAATATTTTACAGGAGACAAAATATGTAATAATTATTAAGCTGATACAAAATTTTTTAGATATTCAATTTTTGCGATAAAATATAATATAACAAAATTATGTCTTTTTTGATTATAAGTATTCCCATTGTATAATTGTAACTCTAATTAGTTTTTTTAACTTCCCGTAGGGCAAGTTATAGTAATCGCAAAAAAATCGAAAATGAAAATTTTTATATATCTTTACGTTTCAGAGGTTTCTGAACATTTTGGCATACCTTAGAAAAAATGGATGTATGTGTGTGTGTGTGTGTGTGTGTGTGTGTGTATGTATGTATGTACGTGTGTGTATGTATGTGCGGATACAAATTTTCGTCGACGATTTCGGGAACACGGATCAACCGATTTGAATAATTCAAAAATCATTCGATTCGTATTGATAAGGAGACGTGCTAATTAGTTTTTGGCGAAGGCAGGTCCAGCCGTTCCAAAGATACGGGGCAAAAAGTGCCGAAAACGGTAACTCAGTTTTTAAGAGAACGGAGCGTCCGATTTTAATAATTCAAAAAACATTTGACTTGTATTGACAAGATGAAGAATTGATCAAATTTTCATGAGGGCAGGTCTAGCGGTTTCGGAGATCTAATGAAAAAAGTAAAAAAAAATGCCATTTGGCGGTCAAAAATGATCATTAGACACATGCACATCAAATTATCAGATATTTTATAGAGATTTTAACAATAAGTAAAAATTTTGTTTGCATTCCTATGGGTTCCGTACCAATGTATATTCGTTAGACGGCGACGCGGCGCTTACGCGCTTTGACATTTTGTTTCTATGCAGTTAAAGCAGTACGATTGCTTTGAAAAAAAGTTCAGATCTTCCAAAATATGCCAAAATAAAGGAAACATTATTTTTTCAAAAAAAAGTAATTTTTTGTCCAATTTATAGTTTCTCAAAAATCTTATTTTTTCGAAGTAAATTTTTTTTAAAAATGTCAATTGTTTTTAAACAAATAATAATTTTTGGTACGGGAAGTTCCAGCAATTTGCCTTAAGGCACGATGCCTTAATTGCCTTAAGACAGAATTCCACTTACAGCTAGTTCATATATTAATTCATGAATTTAATATTTATCTTAAATTTACATTTTTACTCAATGAAAGCATTATTGTAAATTATTGGTAATGATTTTTTCCAAATTATTAAATTTATACATATTATAAATTTGCTAATGTTATTAAATAGTATAGTTTTTTATGTATTTAGAAATATTTTTTTAAATGCCAGATTAAAAAGCATATTCGAAGTTTTACCATAATTCAAATTTATTGAATTAATTTACTATAGTTGTCTATTGGTTTGATGTATATCAATATAACAGAAAAATGTAAATTCTGATATTATTTAGTGAAGGCAAGGTATTATTTGGATATTGTTTGACCACTCATAACTTTTTGTTTGTTTTCTTTCTCAAAGTATTATCACAAAATTTCTTTTATAATGAGTGCTTGAATATCTTGTTTGATACGCATAACGTTAAGATTTGTACCATGTCTTATTGAAAAGAGTATCCACAACTACTATTCTACGATTCGATTCGGAAAATGCAATATACTCATGTACTTTTATACTTCGTACCGTGCAAATCGCTTTTTCTCTATATATCTGTATCCACGTAGGCACTTGGACCTACCACGTTCAACCCGTATAATGACCGTATGCACTAAGCCAGATCTAATTCCATTACGAGGTTTCCTTATTCCATCCTATTGGATTGTAGGATGAGAAGAAAGCTACGGTCAGTTTGATTTTAGTGTTGCTCCTTGCTCGGCTTTATATTGCAGATATAATCAAGCATTAATTTAGGGGATATATAAAAATATTAACTTCACGATACTGATTTGCGTTATTTGTAATGGTTTTATCTGTGCACCATTGATTAATATTTTTGTGTGCATATATATATATATATATATATATATATATATATATATTAGGGTGGTCCTTAAAATGGTCATTCTCGAATTTCCTTGCTCCCACGGGCTCAAATGGTTCCAAATTGATAAAAAACAATTCTCTGAAAGTTTTAGCTCTTAATATTAACGTTTAGATAGAGCGCAATTCAATCAAAGGATGTATGGAAAGAGCATGGAAAAAATTTTGAAAATTTAAAAAAATGTTTTAGGGATAACTTAGCGACAAATGAATGAGTTTTATTTATTCATTTGTTCGCTAAATTACATCTAAAAAACATTTTTAAAATTTTTCAAAATTTTTCCATGCTATTTCCATACAAAACTTTGATTGAATTTTGCTCTATCTAAACGTTAATATTAAGAGCTAAAACTTTCAGAGAATTGTTTTTTATCTATTTGGAACCATTTGAGCCCCTGGGAGCAAGGAAATTCGAAAATGACCATTTTAAGGACCACCCTAATATATATATATATATATATATATATATATATATATATGCCAACAAAATAAATATTTCAAAAAATAGCTGTTCATACGTAGTTTCATATGATATAAATTTGTAGAACATATTAGCAAATGTGTAGCAAAAAAAATATTAAGACAAAAAGCAGAAAATGTAGTTGGAATATCTTGATTATGAGGGATTTAACAAAATATTATTGCAATTTATATTTATTACTTTGCCTGTGTTTCATTTTCAATGTAATTATTGTCTTAATTAATTAATTATGTTTTCATACTTATTTTCATCACTAGAACAATTAGCCGCATACAAAGTTTACGATAAAACTACTTATCAGAATTTGACAAGTAAAATATATTATGCCTTCGTTTATAACAATAATAAAATTAATTATTGGTGATGTATAGGAAAAATTGAAGTAATATTGTACAGGAGAAAAGTATTTGAATGCATTTATTTATTGTTGTGATTTAATAAGAGTTTTAGGTATATTCATTCAAAAATTATTTATAAATATCAAAATATTAATATAATATTAATATGTCTTGTTAATCGAAAAATGTTTTTTTAATAGCAAATTTAAAAATATAAAAATTTATTATTTAATTATTTATTCTAATGATGTTTAAAAATTCTAACAGTGATTTGTTTGTGCGCAGGGCCGCTGCAACCGCGAGAAGCCACCATGCAAGTACTTCCATCCGCCGCAGCATTTAAAAGACCAACTCTTGATCAACGGGCGCAATCATTTGGCGCTGAAGAATGCGCTCATGCAACAAATGGGACTGGCTCCAGGGCAGCCGGTCATGTCCAGCCAAGTGCCGACTGTGGTGAGCTTAACTATGGCATTAATTATTTAATTTTCTAGTTGAAAATTTACTATTATTTTGGGTCTTTATGTTTTGTCCATTTATTGTTGCTGCGTAGATGCTAACTTTTGTTTAGAATGGAAATTGTGTAATGATTGCCAATCTTTCAAAGTGGTTAATAGTTCGATGATTTTTAATATATATATATACTATTTACAATAACATTTATTTCATAGAATATCTTAAGTTATATTGATTACTATTTTATAAGCCATGTCGTTGTAAGATTGGTATTCAGTATACTAGCTTATTATGAGTTATTTTTAAATATCTAACTTAATTTTGGTGTTTTAATGCATGAATAAAATTATAGTAAAAAGATTTTAGATGTGTTACTCTTACAACTATATAATTTTGTCATCTTATCCTCATTAATATTTTTGTATGTCTATTTTAATTTCTAATTTTCTGAACCTATTTGAATTTATGTATGTTATGTCGTTTTTTATTTTTTGCGTGGTAATAAGTCTCATCTTACTTCAATCTAGAATACTGAAAATTATTAAATTAGATGAATTAATTTAGGTTCAGAAATATTATTCCAAAATGATATCCTTCATGAATCCATTAAAAATAATCCCATCTTAGTAGTAACCCTTAGCGGAGTCGTTCTGTAGTGTTTTTTTTTTATTTCGTTTGTGTTGGCGTTGGTGTCGGTAGTCAGTGGCGTCCGCTGGATCGCTGCTACCCCCCATGGCGCACTCCCCTCAAGGCTTGGGGCTCGCCGAGAATCCCCAAAGCATCTCACTGTTTGGCGGACCGTATGCACATCCGCTCATGGTAAACTTTGTTTTCGTTTATCTTTTTGTTGCGTTCAGTTTTTATTGTCTCCATTGTATCGCTATGTTGCTGGCATGATTGAATACCTGCCTTAGGCTTTTGCATAATTCATGTTATCTAAGTACGATAACGAATTTTGTTTGTTTTAGTCAATAATGGGTAGATAATAACGTCTCAATAACAATGTTCGATTAATACAGAAATGTAACGCTTTTGTGCACCTTTACATTCTAAGAAAAGAAGACATTGTAAATATATGGTTGCTTCAATTAATTTTCAAAATAGTTCATATTAAATAGTTTCTATACTAGTGTGTAAACATAATTAATGATATATTTATCGATTTATTTATATAATATTTCCAATGTCTTTTCACTTATTGCATGCTCAGCATTAGCATTGTATATTACCAAATTGATTAAATGTTTTTATTATCATAATAAACGACTATGAGTATCTTAATTATTTTAATATTAATGAAGCGGTACAAAATTTTATATTACAAAATACAATCACAAATGTAAGGATACACACACATATAAATATATATATATATATATATATATATATATATATGTTATGGTTGGGTTTTCATCCTGTATATATATATATATATATATATATATATATATATATATGAATTTAATTATTGATATGTGTATGGAACAAATACTGCAATTGATCGATAAATGAGTTATGTATGTATTATGCATATATATATATATATATATATATATATATGTATATATATGTATGTGTGTGTGTGTTTGTGTGTATGCACATATGGCAGGCTTTAATATGTTTTCTGATAATTATGGGAATATTTTGAATTCAATCGGTATAACGTCAATAGAGTCCATTGACTTTTTTATACTGATACTATTATAATTGTCACTAAATGTAACATCATTATGCCTCTTGTAAAATAAAGGACTGTTTACTAAGAATATAATTGTTATCAATAGTATATATTTTTCTCTAAGCGAGACACTTTTAGTGCAAAATCGAAGTAATCATTATTAGCATTAGAAAAAATGTGTATAATCCGTAGATGCTGATGATCAAATCTATTATTTTAGACAACTAATCCGTACCTGACTAGTATGCAGGCGAATACGTACAGTCCGTATTTCGCACCTGGACCACTAGTGCCAGCTCTCTTGGGACCGGATCCAGCATCAGCAGCCGTTGCAAGCCCCCTGGGTCCAGTGGTTTCTCAGACCGTTGCTGTGCAACAGAAGATTCCACGTTCCGATCGTCTTGAGGTGAGTTGATGACGATTTGTGTTAGTTACTATAGTCTTATCAATATATAAATATAAATGTTTCAAATGTGTACTATATGTAACATCGTATATACAGTTCTATAGTTGACTAGTTACGCGTGCATTGAGTCATTAACGACAGTGATTTCAAGTACCTTAACCGCCTTCTCCCCTGCTACTGAATTCTGTAAAATTACAATAACATTTTTGATGTTTTGTTGTTATTATATATTAACTGTTTCATATTTTTTAATGCTTTAAGTAGTTTCTTATAAGTTGCGTTTTTTCACTTTTCTGCATGATATATATATATATATATATATATATATATATAGATATATATATATAATTGGATTATTAGTTTAGTTTAGAAAGGTGAAACTACTTCTTTAAGTTATCCAAATGTGGAATTTAGAATGTTGTACATGTTTTTCATTTTGTCAGTTTTTTTCAACCTTCTTCAGATTTGTTTTAATATAAACTTTGTATTTATTTGCATATTGTTTTAGATTGACTGCTATATGCTTATAATAATTTCGCTTTATTATGATTTTTGCATAGTTTATAACAATATTCTTTTGTATGTTTACTAGGTCTGCGCGTGTGTAATTTGCAATATCATTATTTACATACGTAATAATTAATTGAATTTAATTATATATGTTGTCAATTCACATATAATATTATTACTGTATATACATGTTGGACACACCACACACAGCTTACAGGCTGATACAGGTCTCCGTCGAGAATCAGATGGTGTATTAATACGCATGATGGATCGTGTCGTTCAGCAGAAGACCCGTAGAACGGATAGGGTTTGATATTTTGTTAATTTATAGTTAATTGATGATAATATTCTCGACGTCCTCGCGACACCCTCTCTATTTTCCGGGCATCTGCGGCATCTTGTCCTCCAGCCTATCGCATGCGGCCTTCTTTAGATATTATTATATGTGTGTTGCGCTTATTCTTGATTATAAAAAATGTTTGTTAATAATCATTTTTCAGTTTCATCGCTATGTCAGTGGCAATTTTATTTTGTTAGCTACTAATTGAATACATTATCACTGGAGCTTTGAAATAAGATGCCACATGATGATGCGATGAATTGAACATGATTTTTGAATCCATCTGACAATACTCCCTTGAAGTTGCATGAAATGATTGTTCCTTTGGTGCTTTTTGGCTATTGCCTATTGCCTATGCGTGCCCTCGATACCTATCCACAGGCAATCCTTCCGAGTTCGCTGTTGTCGGTTCGGTCACACGAATGTTGTCTGGCTGTTCCTTTTGTTTTGTTTGACCGTACAACGTCCGCAGGTGTGCCGCGAGTACCAGCGGGGTGCCTGCAAACGGGCGGAGAGCGAGTGCCGCTTCGCGCATCCGCTCGATAGCGTGACAGCACACGAAGACGGCTGCGTCACTGTTTGCATGGACGCCGTGAAGGGCCGTTGCAGCAGAGATCCTTGCAGATATTTCCATCCCCCTTTGCACCTCCAGGCGCACATAAAAGCGGCCCAGTCGCGCGCGGGCGCGGTATGCTAAATGCTCTCTTCTCTCTTTCTTTATATTTTTCTATCTAGCTTCTTTTTTGTTTTTTTTTATCCATAAGCTTACAATTCAAATGTTCTATTTATAGTTTTAAAATTTTCTTTCTTCTTATGCAATTCTCGGATTTATTATTTCGTATTTATTGCTTGGTTACGATCGCAGCATGCAGATTATCAATTTTTATCCTGTTTCTTTGTTGATCCTAATGATTAGTAATCTTAGCTGTCAGTGTTTAGTTAAATATGGATTTGTGATTGGATGTTAGCTAAGATTTAATATGGATTGAGCAAGATTGTTTTGATTTTTAACATATTTCTTAAGGGCAGTATATTTGTTAATATAATTAATATCACTTGTGTTCAGTTTTATTGTCTTTATCAATTGATATCATAGACATCTGTTATTTTTGTGTCATCGTTTGTGTCTGTACGCTAATTCGTTACTGTGTATGATTGAAACAATGAAAGGATACATCCTCTACTTGAATTTCCTGTAAATGCTTGAAACTAGTTTTTTCGAATAACCAAATCAACTACATATAATTGTGATGATTATATATTTTTTCTTATTTCCTTTTATGTTAGTTTACCATAAATATATAAATGTATATTCTATTAGATAGACCTTTATTTACGCCTTACATCTTTCTCTATCTCTGTAGTGACCTATGGTGGCACTTGGCTAGTAGGCACTTGCAACGATTTATAGCTAATGTGCAGCGCGCTTGCTACTTGCCCTACCACTATCCAACCTTTTCATAAGGACGAGAATAAGATCATGCATTCTCTTGCTTTTCAGGACAATTTCTTATCTTGAGATTTATGAGGAAAGAAGGAGAGCTGCGAGATCAAAGGATGCACAACATCTCTATTTTATAGCTGATTAATAAATTATAATTGACTATTTCAGATATATCATAACTTGATTAGATTATTTACGTGAGTTTTACACTTGATATCTTATTTTTAATTCTTCTGCAGCATATTTCAAAGAATGGTTTCAACTACAACAATAATATTTTTGAAATCGGTTTTCAACTAGCGGTGTTTGAATATTATTTTAATTTATTATTGCTTATTACTATTATTTTTTTACTCACTAGTGTGGCAGTCTATAAATATATATGCGTATTGTTTTACATTATTTAGGTTATTTTAGGGTTTGATTCAATATATCACACACACACACACATATATATATATATATATATATATATATATATATATGTATATATATATGTATATATATATATATATTTAACTGTAACTGTATTGATTTAAATAGCCTATAATGGTTTGATTTACAGTAAATTAAAATTTTATTGCAATTCTAATCATTCGCGGATTTTTGAACAAGTATCTGAAAACTAGATTTATTGTGTCAATTTAAACTGTAACATATACCACGTTCAAGAAAAATAAATAAACAGTTTAAATTACAATACTGTAATTTATTTCATGTAATTTTCCTTATGTAGACTGTACTTGTTTTATCTTGTTGTGCGTTGCATGTCTTTTGGCAAATTTGTGCTTACGTTCAGCTTTATTGATGTGTATATTATAACATATATATATATATATATATAGATCAAAGGGCAGGGTCGCGAGTTCCAGTCCGCGCTCTGGAAGGCCTTAAAAATATAGATCAAAAATATGTTTCCAGTCGAAAATAATCCTATTTCGAGTACTGCTGTGTGAAGTAACAATGGGCAATCTCTCACACTATTCTTTCCTGAATCGAGTTGGAGCTTAACTAGCTCACAGATCTGCCATAGGGCAGTACTTCCCATTTTATATATATATATATATATATATATATATATATATATATATATATATATATATATATATATATGATGAGTTATTTAGAATCGGGCAGTAATATATATATATATATATATATATATATATATATATATATATATATGTGTGTGTGTGTGTGTGTATGCGTGTGCATGCAAATATATCGAAAATTGGGTGATTAATTGATTTAGAATATTAAGATAAAATGTATATTTACACACATACATACACACACACACACATATATATATATATATATATATATATATATATATAATAATCAAAGAAAAAATATATATACATATATACGTGTGTGTGTGTTTTATAAACGCAATACTTTTGCCACTTACTTCAAATAATATTGTAAACTTTTATATTTACTTATTACATATATATTATTATATTATAAGTCTTTGCAAATATTGCTATCTTCACTTTGATTATTTTGCAAGTACCTTTATTTTTCATTTTTAGAAATTAAACGTATAATGTAACGGATTTTAATTAAAAGCATGGAAGGAAATTTTAAACTACATTATACATTAGTTGTTCATTTAAGAGCCTTTAAAACTATCGTGCTGTTGCCCTATCTGCTCTGTAACATTATTTGCCATAGCCAATACTCCTACATTTATTATTTTTGCGTTATACTATCTTTGATATGATATTTCAGTGCTTCTCAAACTGTTTTATAAGATACAAGCTTTGCGATCAAATTGAATTTATGCGAACTTAATTAAACCACGGCTTCCTCAAAGTTAACTAAGTGCTTGTGATGTAAAAATTTAAATCTTGATTATTTTGCATGTTTTGTCAATGTTAACGCAGATCAATGATTTATCACTTAATTCCTACTTTGGATTTATTGTAAATAATATACAAGTGTTGCTTTTTAATTAAAATATATGTGAACACAAGCAATATATGCAGCATGTATTATTTAAGATTATAACACAAAATATGAATGTTATAATTGGAATTAGATTGAAAATGCAATTACACTTTTTTGTACTTCATATTCATTATATCGCATGTTCAATACTGACAACGATTCTATTTCCTGACTTCTTTTGGTAACTTGCCTATCATGATATTTTTTGTATGAATATTTATTTGAAATATATAAATTTAATGTATTGAAAGCATTGAAAGCCTGATTACTATAGTAATAAATGCGCGGTATGCAGTTAGAATACTTTCTGGTAATTCGACTAAAATCATTGGCAGGTTATCACTTGCAATGCTGTTTTTTCTGCTAGTCATGTTCAATATTAGACCTTATCGAGACTATTCCAATTTACGTTGAGACAGTTCGAGAAGCACTGCCTTCCTCATGTTATTCATACAATGAACATTATTGTATAGACAAACACCATTTATCCATTGACTTGGAGTCGCTTTTTAATTGCTTGCTAACCTCTAGTCCGCTACTGGCACTGGTAACATGGCTGCTGTCCCTCCGGTGGTCGGACTGCCCGGCCTGCAGGCTTTGCCCGCTCCACCTGCTCCGTCGCTGGAGCTAGGGAAGAAACGTGCCGCCGCCACCAACTCTGATTTGTTACTGGTATAGCAGACGCTTTGCATGATTTTATTATGCCACATTATTTTTATTTCTTGTTATACACGTCATTTACGCCCCTTCTAATAAAATAAATATTACATACAAATTTGATTTACCTTCACTGTAATTTTTGCTTTAATAAATAACAATTTAGCATATATATATAGATATATAAATATATATATATACACATATATATATATATATATATATATATATATAAATTAACATTGACTGCTTACTAATTGCTTTTGCTGGCAAAGTTTAGCGTTTTAATATGAGTTACACTTTATGAATAGATATGTCATGTAAAATATATTATCTCGCTAGGCTTTGTAGCGATTCTGGTATCTTGGTTTGTCAAGTTGCTAGCATGCGGGCTGTTTCACACTGAAATAGCTTTGTTACCGAACGATCAATAAATACTGTTAATTATATAAATATAGTCAATCCACAGTTATTATATTGTTTGGATTTTCAAACATTTTGTGAGTTTTATCTCTGACTTTTTTGTTGTTTAAAATTATGTATTCAATGTATGTATACAAAACCAACACAAACTTTGTAAAATTCTGCAGCTAAGACAATTTGCTTTTTAAATTTAAGTGTGTTGCATGTATCTGATACATCTATAATGTTTTTTCCTTACACGCTGCTTATTACATCAAGTTTTATTTTGCGCGCTATATTGGCTATACTTTTGTCGGATTACTTTTAAGCATATTAAAATCGCAAGAAGTCTGCTTTGAAGCAAAAGTCTTATAAATATTTTAAAAACGAATTTATTTTATAGATGGAAATATGAACTTACTTACAGGTATCGAGGCTCATTGAATTTAGTATATCCTATTCTTATACTATCCATCGGCCAGCTCTGATCCCGCATTTGCAACTTTACTCACCATTAATATTATGAATATTAAACTGATGCCTATCAGTTTGAGCGTTCAGTGGAAGTAGCATCAAATCTTTCTTAATTTACTTACTATGCTCAAATAGCACTATTGATGCTTGGTATCTAACAATTATAAATATTGTTACATCACTGGTAGCTCTAATCGCATCATGTCTGTTAATTTCTTATTTCAATTTTGAAGAGACTAATGCACTTTAAATTTTTGCAGATGGACATGAAATCAGTCGGATCATTCTACTACGAAAGCTTTGTAAGTACGATATATTAAATTTTAGTGATTTTCAAAAGAAGATCTATCTATGAGATCTAAACTTTTATTAATTATATTTTGGTATATATTGACTAAAAGTTCATATATATATATATATATATATATATATATATATATATATATATATATATATGTATACACTGCGGTATAAAATGGCGATGGGAATTTTTTCACACTATTCTTCCCTGAATCGAGTTGGATTCTATTCAGCTCACCAACCTGCCCTAGGGCAGTACTACCCATTTCTACACTAAGAGAACACATTTGTACCTAATCAACAAATGAAATATTCTTTTCGCACAATACGTATATTTACGTATTTTAATACGTGATATTGCTCTGAATTATCAGTAATATTTCAAATGTAATGTTTATCTTTATTTTCTTTCTTTAGGCCTTCCCAGGAATGATGCCGTACAAACGACCAGCCGCTGATAAGTCTGGAATGCCCGTATATCAACCTGGTGCGACAACGTATCAGCAATTAATGCAGTTGCAACAGCCTTTCGTGCCCGTGTCATGTGAGTACATTCCCAGCCATCATGCGACCCCTGTCAACACTGGTCCAACCATCGAGGAATTACCTTCCACTCCTTCACACACGCCAACGCCGTCGCAAACTCGTACCGATGAACAGGACGAGCGCGCGCCGTCTTTGGCCGTAGTCACGTCCAGCTCCATGCCTATTCAGGACGCTGCTTCTATTGCTAAAGAAGTCGCACAGAAAAATTATGCCAATGCCGTTAAACTAGCGGTCGCCGCATCCGGTTCACTTTCAGGAAAACCACTATCCGCACTAAATTACACGGGCGTCACTCTCAACAAACAACCGGCCTCGGCCACGTTGCCACGCTTTCCAACAATCACCGTTCCAACATCTCAGTACGGATTAGCATATCATACAAACGCGAATGCGACAGCTACAGCTGCCGCTGCTTACAGTGCACGTCCCGCTCAGCCGCACTATCCATTATTGCGCCCGCAATTACCACCTCATTACGCTTTGACACAATCACAAAACGCCGCGCAGCAAATATTGGCAAGTCAAGGCCTTCTCGCCCAATATCATCCTTCACAGTTCACCGGTTTGCAAAGTTTGCCGGCGCTGCAGAACCTGCAAAGTATACCTACTTTGCAAGGTCTACAGAGTCTGCAAAATTTGCCCCCTCTAACACACTTGCAACCCCTTTCGCCTGCTCACGTCGCGCAAACACCGCAAAATGCAGCGGTGGTTATGAATCCTTACAAAAAAATGAAAACAAATTAATTGATCCATATTATCCGTTGTATTGTGAAGCTAGTTTAAATGAAGTAATTCATATGTATTATAGGCATTTACCAAAACTATAAATGCGTTGATGCAACGTAGCCTTTTTATTTCGGTATGAATAGGGAAGAACTGTGATATATAGATCAGGGCAGGTTCCCTCCCAGTGACAGTGCCTGCATATTCCTTATGTCTCCTAAAAGAAACCTTTCGAATTGACATTATTTCTTGCATCCAGAAATGGCATGGACCAGTTGACCTTATGGCTGGGCTGTAACCTATCCTCTCACATCATAAATTCTCTTTCTATATTCATTTTAGTGTTAAATTTTTAGTAGAGCTATATATATATATTTAATCAGGTTGTACGTGTTTATTATTAGACTTTAAGTTAATTCTTTTAGTCATGTTAATTAATAATATTGTCTTATTGGCATGCTAAGGTGTCTATATCACATTGTGAAACGCCTTTTGACTTGTCCAATTAAGTTATAGTAGTGGTAGTAGTCTGGCAGTCTTCAAAGGTATTTGCACCGTTGTAAAATTATAGTAATTATTATGCCATTCCTAAAGAAAATGCATCTGTGCAAAAATCGTTGAAGAATTGTATTGTTTTGTTTTGACTGAGTTTTTTTACATTATGTGGTGGGTTGATTGACTCTTTTAATATATTATTTATTTACAATTTTATACATAAATAGCAATTGCCTTTGACATCCAATGTAATATTAAGGTCAATTGTAATTTTAGTCCAAATAATAGATGAGTTAATCTCATAGTGAGTTTAAAAACTTGCCTTTATTTTTATTGATATAAATTTTAACATAGTCTATTTATAGATTATATATCTATATATATATATATATATATATATATATATATATATATATATATATATATATATATATATATATATATATATATATACGCGAGATGTGTTCAAAGTAATGGTGATTGTTTAAAGGTTTGCGGGAAGCATGCATGTGATTATCAAATGTTTGTTTTTGTTTTTGTTTTGTTGGTACGTACGCAACAAACATAAATTCACAGTTTTAAGCGGGCCTATTATATCAGAACAAAATCCGCGTTCAGAAGGGCTACTTAGGGGTCCAATTGTAGTCGCAAATTTGGCACTAGTAAGCTGATGAAAAAGTATTATCAGATGTTTTATGTTGTTAACTAAAAAACGTCAATGTTATTTTTGTGTCAGTTGACAGAATAGTGATTCTTGGTCTTTTGTGTTTGTACATTTGTTAACAAAGACTTCATTAAGAATTGTTCTCAAAGTAGTTCTTTGACAAAATGAATAGAACAGCTTAAAACTCAGATACAGATACAAAGAGGCCAGTTCTAGGAAATTATGTAAGAAATCAAGTATAAGCATCTACAAGAAAGACATAATATTTAGAAATCTACCAGCTGTTTAAAATTGGATTACCATTTCACACGGATCTGAATATACTTAGAAGAAAATGAATTGCTTAAGAATGTCAAATTTTGCACGGGATGATTATCAGTTGATGAGAGTTGAGAATGATAGACGATGTAATGAACTAACACTATAATGCTAACACTATAATATATTATTCACTAAATTTTACTAAATGTTTATATTAATATAATAAGTTAAAAAAGTGTGAAGTTATTCAAGTAGATTAGGTATCATGTCTATTTAATCTGGTAGTGTTTTTGTTGATTTATATTATAATATAATATTGTCTAGTATATTTTTGTTATTATTGTATTATAACTAAACATAATACGATTGTAATACTAAGTTTAGTTTCAAATATGCGATAACTAAAATTCATTAATTTTTATTTCAAATTTTGCGCCATTAATTTGAATGCCAAAAGCAGCGCCATCACGTCTGAGCGGAGGACCCTTTAAGTATTCCTTCTAAGGGTTTTAAGTACATAGTAGAAAAGTCTATGTGGTCCCCGTCGATTTTCTGCCGTAACATGTAATTCTTTTCTTATATTGATAGCAAATTACCATTCAAAGCAATGTAGTGTTACGTTGTTAGTTAAAATCAAATTATGCCACCTACTTGAAACTGTGACACGTTGATACACGTGTATTATTATAACACATCAACTATAAAAATCGATAACCGAATGTAGATTGCAAAACATCAAACGTTCACCTTATTGTTTGATCACGCCTCGTTCATATGATAGTGTATGCGTATATAACTATATGCATATATATATATATATATATATATATATATATATATATATATATATATATATATATATATATATATATATATATATATATATATATATAACAAATATTGTCAACTCTAGAAACTAAGCAAATATTATTTGAATGTTGTGATAGATAACATTAGCGTTTAATTAGGAACATAAGATAATTGAATGTTTTATTATTATTATTATTGTTATTGTAGTATATTATAATATTTAACCAACCAAGTGAATCATTAGCAAGACAATATGTTTAGATTGGTCTAGTTTAGTGTGTTCGGTGTCTATGACCGGCAGGATAAGATATAAGTTTTCTCTGATATATCAGATGATACGCCTGCATGCGTAGACACGCGTTTTAATTATATTATTGTAACTGATTGCATTTCGAGGTAGTAGCTTTTTTAGATACTGTCGAAGTGGCCGGCCAGTTGTCGCAGCTTTAGCCGTAAGCTTTAATTCTAACAAGTGCTCTAAAGCTTTTTGGCGTTCTCATTTGTTTTTTGTTTAATCGGCTTTGAACTAATATTTAACTTGAAAATGTTAGTCAAATAAACATAAACATTTTTATACTACTACTTCAAAAAGTAATGTTTTAGTAAAAGCGTATATAAAATTTTTGCTGTATTATTTTTTATAACTACACATCACATTGGTTCATATTAATGTTTGTTTTAACTTTAATTTTAACAAATTTCTAGTCTATATAGATAGTAGATTTTTGTGTAAGTTAATTTAATCATTGGCATGTACTGCTTCTGTTCTTCAACTGCTTTAACGCGATCTGTAGGACAACACAAAGTTGCGCAACTGCTTGGCCTTTGAGACAATGGCAATTCATTGCCCTAAAAGAAATATTTCTGTATCTTATTATTACCTGTATACTTGATAACTATCATTTGTAGCTAACGGCGCATTGGGTGCGGGCGCTTCTGTATATTTGCTTTTATTTTGCGTCCTATCACAATTTAACCAAAAATATTTTGCACTCTCCGAGGCGCAAGTAGCAGCGCCCGCGTCCACGCGCAGGCTAAGCCTGACTCATATCTTATTTTTTTACGATGTATTTGTATGTTCTAATCCTGCTAAATGTAAATGAGCCTAAATTGGCTTCCACAATGCCAGTATTTGTAATAATAATTGCTTGGAAATGCATGAATATTTGTTTTATTGATTAATAATATACATACGTACATTGATTTTACATTATATATAATTTATATTTGATTACTTTGTAAATTTTGCTTTAATATTAATTTACTATTTTTATTTTTGTTTCTATGCGGTTGTTGGTTTCACCCATTCTCATTCTAGTTCCCGCGAGACAGTCAATGTGACTAATCCGTTAGTAAAATGAGAATTGGTGACCCCTGGGTTTCTCGCGATCCTTTGCCGCCCTTATTCACTACATCATGTTTATATTTTTTAAGTTTTTATTTCACTTACTTCTCGATCATCTCAAATCTAATAAACGGAGCCGACGCGATGTTACATTGCGTTGCTTGCTCAGCTGCACATTTCAATTGCTTGTACAGAGTAGCATGTATACAAATATTGACTAAAATTCATTGTAAGCATTCGCCAACATTCACGTAATTTATATATTCGAATCCATCTTTTGCGATATATGATTGAAATCAGCAATAAGTTTTAATTTTTTTCTTACAAATTTTTCCTGGTTTTCACATACGTGCTTCGCGACGGCTCTGCTTGTTTATACACTGCGCTGAGTTGTTTTCATAATCACTACCTATTATCGATAATTTGTTTGATATTATATAATAAATGCTATTATCATTTTATGCATCAGCGCATAGTTTATTGAGTTTAAGATTAAATATTCAGTGAATTTTGTGTATTTGTTATTAGTCTTAGAAGTTTGACATATGTTTTCAAACGTTACGCAATTTTTGAGCTTGAGTTTACGGTAAGGTAAGAAATTCAGTATCATATTAAAAAGTGCTGCGTGTAATTAAGGTTTAATGACGTATCATAAAACAAATTTATGTGAAACACATTATTTTTTTACAATGCTTCTGGTAAATTACTTTGTGCACATCGACTTATCATAATATATTGGACCTAGGACGCCTGCTTTAATATAATTCGTTCATTCTGGATATTATCAAGAGATAAAAACTAGTGAATAAATTATTTGAATAAGTTCGAAAATAGATACCAGATTGTGAAAACCGTGAGTATATCATGGTAATCAAATAATCAAAATCAATAGTGATATAAATTAGTAAATTAGATTTTTGAAGTTACGGACAAACCATCACATTTGGTTTTTATATACCTAGATATTAATTTAAACTATACAATCACATCAGCAACATACATGGAATTTTAGTAAAGTTCAAGGCAAATAACGGCTTATGTTATATAGAAACAGTTTTAATATTTTCTTTTGAATAAATATAAATTCTATATGAAGCTTTATATGTTCTACAATTGTGGGCTCAAACAAATTGATAGCGATAATTTTCCTTTTATTTCACAACAGTTTGTTTCAAACATTTGGTGATGGTGTTGTTAAAAAATAAATTTATTCATAATGCATTTAATTTGATATGGTGTGTTTTCAGATCTGGACACTAATTGTTCTTCAAAGCACTTAACAAGCTTCATTATTGTAACTTTTGATGTGTATTTTATTTTGGAAGATCACTTTACTATAATTCTGCAATTCCGCATTTCTGCAATTCTGCAATTCAGAAATTTTGAAATTGTGCACATATTTAAAGAACGACGTAATTGTTTGCATGCGTCCCCGCATAATCTTCCTAGTATGTACCTACTGCTTGACGCTGCACACGGAGTCACTGTGCCCGGAGTAGTCTCTGCGCTGACCATGTCTACGCCGCTGTAGAGGTTTGCCTTCATCAATGGTATACTCCTCATTTTCAATGCGTTACGTAGTTATTAATCGACTAGTCAGTAGTATTTGCTTTTTAAATGTTTCGATTAGTCTCATTATAATCAGGTGTCCGTTAAAGCATGCAATAACGGACGTGAATTTATTTTCATGTCTGATTGACTGACATGCATTGTGCATTCTGCTTGCTTATAAAATGATCGAGGTCTGCATTCGTATTATATAGTGGCGGCATATAGCATGTCGTGTGTGCCGCAGTGCCTTAACATGCCAACTAACACTGCTGAACGCTAACAGAGAGTGGCTAATTAATATGCTAATAAAGAGGATAATTATGCAGCTTTGCAAGTTATGATGCTCCTGTCGACAACATGGCTCGCATGCTCAGGTATTTCTCTATTGTAAACTGAACGAGTCGGTCGACGAACTTCGATCTCACATCGGACCGCCTCGAGCAGAGAACATTGCATTTAGCATGAGGTTCATTGTCTGATATAATATACGTTGCTTGCACTTTCACATGTTATATGACACTATGAATAGTATAAAA